CTAAATTTCTTAGATATATTTGTACTTTTAAAGATTTATTAATTTATAATATTAATAAGACTATGTATTTATATAGGGGTCTTCTGAAAATATATTATCTTATTATCTTATTGAAATGAGTGATTTTTTCCATTGGCTCAAGTCGGGACCGGAGAAAATTATTATCTTAAAAAGATTATTAATTAACCGAGTATTAATTTAGTGAGATTTTATTATATATATATATATATATATATAAGATCACTTTCCCTCACGAGAAGTTCGTGAAAACCATAAGGCACACGACGAGAAAATAGAAAAAGTTTATATATAAGATATCTTACTCCCCTCTCGATCTCCCGTTTTAATTTGTTTGGTTGGTATTGGCTTGACACAAATTAGTTTAAGAAAATAAAAAAGAGCTTTGAATCTTGTAGATAGTGATCTTAAATTAAAGATATGTAAAATGTATTAAAGTAAGACAAACAAATTGTAACAGAGGAGACAAATAATATTTACCTAGAAGTGAACTTTGACAAATTTGGTATTTATAGAAGTTGTAGACAAAGGTATATCAAAGACATTGCAATGAATAAAAGCTGCCTTTCCTGGTAAGAAATTTGCTAATTTTAGATAGTTTGGTTTGTGTGGTCTCTGCTGAATTAGGTAATCAATTCATCAGTAATAAAGGACCTACACATGGCCATATGCTTAACTGTAGAGGTCCAACACAAATCAATAAATTTATGATAATGTTATATACTACTCACTTTTAAGCACTAGCAACTGCGTTTGGTACGAAGGGATCAAGTTTTTTTTTTTTTGGGAAAATAAGTTGGTTTATAATTTTATCTTTTTATATTTGGTTAGTAAGTGAAGAAGATTTTTTAGTGTTTGTTGGTGAATGAAAAACTTTTTTTTTTAATATTGGACTAGAGATTAAAAAATATTTTTAAAGAAAATAGTTTCTAATGCAGAAACCAACCCTCGGACCCGATATACAACCTCAATAATCGATCCAAAATCCAACTCCAACACCCGAATCGGAACAAGACACATCTCTTTTTTAAAGTGAGACAACGATAAATTAATTTCATATGGTCGGTTGGGTGGTTTTTAGTTTTTTTTGCTGAAACTCTACTAAAACTAGAAAAGAAAAAATAATTTATGACACTCTTAAACTGGAATTAATTTTACATATGGTCACTTAGATGTTTGTCATTTTTCATTAAAACTCTAGTAAAACTAAAAAAGAAATCGAATTTGTTTATCTCACATAATTGAAACCATTATAAAATTAAAAAGATAAAATCTAAATAAATGATAGAACATCCTCAAACTTATTTGTCCCTAATTGATACAATACTATTTTAAAGAGGAATCGACCTATATATTATCTATATACATACATATTATATTATACATAGATCGTAAATAATTAAATCAATTATCGATATATCTATATATCTATAGCTTAATCAGATCATTTTCCCTCACGAAAAGTCCATGGAAACCATAAGGCACACGACGAGGCAATTTGACATGAGCCACAATGTCAAGATTAGGTGATGTTGCATCCATGACCAAAAATTTCGATTCCCCTGTCTTCTCATTGTGTACATACGACACTACGTAGCCATCGTCTTCATCGATTGAAGGATTTTTAGGCACGAAAAATGGTTCACCACCAAAGCAATCTTCACCAAATATACGACATGCCACGATGCAATCGCGACGATCAACTTCTGCTACGGATACGTCTAATTTTGCTATCCCTATTACTTTCGGCATAGGGTCCCCAATGGCTGCATATACATACCTGCACGAGAAGTAAAAATTTAACAAATTGAATTTGTTTGTATGATTTTGACTTGATACGAAGTTAAAAGTAAAATTAAAAGGTAAGATGAAACAAATTGTGTGGAATTTACTAATTTCAATTAGTTTGGTTTGTGTGGTCTCTGCTGAAATTAAATCATGTGATCATAAGTCATAAAGGACCTACACATGTCCATATGCTGCACTATAGATGGTCCAACAAAAATCAATAAATTTATGATAGTGTTATATCCTAGTACTCCCTCTGTCAATGTTTACTTATTGCTCATGTTAAAAAAGCATGATAGAATAAAGTGATAATTTTATTATATTATTAATTATAAGTTATTTCACTCGTTAAGAAATAAATTAGAAATAATTAGTAAGTACTTAATAATAAGAATAAAATACGTATAAACATGCAAATTATTTTTTGATTTTTCAAATCAAAGAGTAAAAATAGATAGTAAATATTTTCAGTATAGTGGATTAGTAAAAATTGACAAAGAGAGTATGTAGTTTGTTCTATAAAAGTATCGAGTTATTCCCTCTGTCCAAACTAATTGTCATCTTTTGTTTTTGAAAGTCAATTTAACTAATTTTACCGCAAATTAATATGTATATTTACTTGTATTAATGAATATCAAGTAAGTTACTGAAGATTAATTGGATATTATAAACGTACTTGTTCTTTTTCCCAACATAAGCTGGATTGATGACTCCAAAATCAAGATTTCTTGTAGAAATTGGATGTCTGCTCACCATCCCTGTCTTCAAATTTATTTTCACTTTCTCAACACTTGCATGTATCATGTCCATCCTCTCTAGTGTATGTTCCACCGATAATATATTCGGCGCGATCAACACTATCGTATCGCCTCCATCCTCATCCCACGCGTTGATCGCGTGTACAATATTAAATCCTGGCACATCAAACCACCTCATTTCTGACTCATCCTTGGCGTAACGTGGTATCACACCAATTCGGGGAATTTTCCCCGAGTCAGTACCCACCGGTGAACCACCGGTGAGTAACTCAATTGGGTTCATTCCAATTTGTATGTCCGAAAATATAGCGTATTTTTTTGTGATTGCAAAATCATGTAGAAATGACGGGCGGGTCATTGAGAATATGGGTACATCCGGGGTTTTAGTACCATTCGGGTCGACCCGAAAGTAATTTAAAAACGGAGGCATCACACCGTAACGGAAAGCAAAAGCCTCGTTAGTTTCGGGGTCGATTTTCGGATGTGCCGTCATGCTCATGAAAAGTTTTCCGTTAAAATCGTGACGGCCAAGGGTAATAATGTCACCATCTGGGGCTATTTTTACCTCATATGGTAAATCAGATTCACCGAGGGCGAAAAGTTTACCCCCGAATAAAGCTAAGCTTGTATTCGCAAGGCCTATACCGTTTGCGGGATTGAACTGTCCCGCAATAGCCCGGGCCGCGGTGAGTGCACCACGCGCGGCCGAGGCTGTAAGACCATTGAAACCGGAGAACACATTAGGAATAATGGGGGACCCGGCTTCATTTTCGATGTTGTACTTGTAAGTCTTGACAAATCGACTACAAAACGTAGCTTTACCTTGGGAAATTTTAATAGAGTGAAGCATTCCATCACCGTCGAAAAGATGGTAAGGTCCACGTGGAAGATATTGAGGGTTAGGTCCATTTCTAATATACGCGCCGTCTAGGCAAGAGGGAAGGGAGCCTTCCACTACTTCGCATTCAGTAGGAGGAAGTTCGTCTACTGGAGCGAAATTGTTAGAGAGAACATACCTTGGATCAACAGACGATTTCCTAGGAGGATCAATGAAAGTATTTACGAAATCATCGAATGCATTGAAGATAAAAGAGGGAAATGATGGTTCAATAGGTTTTCTTGAGGGTATTGGTTCTCTTTTTGTAGTTGGTTTTGGTGGTGAAGGGGTTGATTTTTCTTGTGGTTTTGTTATAGTAGTGGTTGTTTGTGGTCTTTCTTCAATTCTAACAGAGAAGACTTTTAGAGTAGGAGAATAATAATAATTATTATTATTATTAGGAGAAAGAAGAGATTTAGGGTGTTGTGATAATGTAGAAAGGAAAGTTGAAGACAAAGCATCCATTGTGTTTCTTCTTGAAGAGAAGAAATGAAGAAACAAGATATGATTATACAAAAGAGTAAAGGGAAAAAGAATAAGTGTTTGTATGTATGAGGTCCCATGCATATATAGCCAATTTGTGGAGTAAGGGGAGTGAGGAGTATAGCAAAAGAAAGAGACTATTCATTGAGGGAACATCACATTTTCCTAAAGTGGGGTAGTGAAAAGAGACTTCTTATCTGCACAACATCAATACAAAAAAATCAAGCTTATACCAATATATATATTCACATTGAAATCCAAACTAAATAGAGATTTGCGCTAGAAAATCTCATTGGGGTAAAACGCTCTCTAACAAAGGTAACTCTGTACTCAAGAAAACTTGAACTTAAAACCTCTAATTAAGGATGAAAGAATACTTACCGCTCAATTTCAACCCTGGTTGGTTAAAATCAAGCATACTCATTGTTACGATGAATTCAATAATCTAAGTACATTTAATTCTTTTTATATAATTTATAAGTTCTTTAATTTGAGTGTTAAAGTTATTGAGTTTAATTGAATTCGTATCAAAACCTTCTAGTTCTCCTTTTGGATAACTAAATAGGTATGGATCCAGCTCCCCTCCATTATCCCTTCCCTCCATTTCATAAAGTGCACGTCTGGATTAGAGACATGTCTCATATTTAAAGTTTAAAGGTCAAGATTATATTAAATAAGCAAATATCATAACCATAGTTAAGTCAACTAATTTTGGAAAAGTACTCTCCAAATTTGGTAAGGATTACAATATATTCTATACAAAATTTGATATTTATTAATATCATTAATTTCATGCAAAATGGAATATATTGTAATTCTTATCAAATTTGGAGAATAGTTTTCTAAAATTTATTGACTTAACTATGGTTATAATATTTATTCATATGATATAATCTTGACCTTTAAACTTTAAATATGACACATGTCTCTAATCTAGACGTGCACTTGACACATGTCTATTCTAAAATTAATTGACTTAAATATTGCTTGCTTATCTGTTAACCTACACCTTATAAGTTATTATAGATACATACACCAAAGATTAGGCAAGAAGAGCATCATATATTAGATTCAATTTAATCTTTTTATTTTATGTTTTCTCTTACTTTTTTCTTCTTTAATCTCCTTCATCATTTGCTGGTTTAGAGGATTATCCAAATCTATTTTATTATTTTATCATTAAATATATTTTAAATAGCACAAACACTTGTGTGATACTGATCAGTACTTAACTTCTTTATATTGTACTGATGATGGCGTAAAGTATAAGAAAACAATTAAATCTCATCTGTGTAATTTAATTTATTATAACATATTATGTATTTTATGTTACTGATCAATATTAATATTAAATAAGTTACCCAAAATTATATTGTAATGAACTTGAAAATTTTGATAATCGTTTAAACTCTAATAATAATAGTATATTTTACATCAGTAGTGTGTAAAACTTAACTCTAATAATAATCTTAACAAATCAAAAAAATCTAATGGGACAGAGAGACTGATCATAATATAAGCATCTTTTTCCAGCCAAAAATAATAATAATTTAATTGTAATATATATATATATATATATATATATATTAAATAATAAGAATAATAAAACCACGTGTATGATTCATTTTATTCTCAGACGAAAAATATCCCAATTTGATATCTCTCATGGGATCCAGGACCATCATGACCAGATGTCAAATTTGCAAGGCTAGATTCAACTATAATTAATCAATGAAATCCAAATATATTTTTCGTATAAATTAAATTAATTAGGATCGTTTCGATAGAGCATATAAAAATAGTATTGAATATATGGTATTAATAATTTTTTTATTAGAAACGGTAAAATTAGTATTTATATTGAAATTATCTTTGATTCACTGTTTGATCTGATGTGTTCAAAGATAATTATATCTTTAATCTTATATATTTATGTATTAATAACCATAATATTATTAATATCATAGTTTCACGTAATTAATAATATATAATATACATATACTAAAAATACTATCAAACAATATACTATATTAAATAATACCAAAATCAATACATGTATTGTGATTGCTAATACATCCTTCCTAATTGCCTCACAATTCTTTGTCGAAATCAGTGTTTTCAAAAACGTTTTTGGGGCGAGTTCTAGGGCGAGTCTCGGGGCGGGGCGTACCAAAAACGCTTTGGGGCGTAAATTAAAGACGTAGATCCATAAGGCGTAAGTTCTAAATTTGAGGCGTAAGCTTCGAGCATAAAAACGTAAGTCCTAGGCGTAAAAACGTAGGTCCGGACGTTTTCAATTTATTTTTTTGAACTTTTTTTGCTTTAAATCATATTTTTTACTATTGGTATAATGATATCTCTCAAATAGTAATTATAATATTTTTTCCTTCATTATTGATTATTAATACTTATTTCAAATAAAAATCATAATATAATTTCTATATATTATAGGTTATTTATAAAAAATTATTTGTAAAATCATTGAAAGGTTTACTTTTACTTATTTTATTATTAATAAAACTATAAAATTGAATATACATGAGATTACGCCCCGTAGATCCATGGGACTTACGTCCCATGTCTCGGGGCTTACGCCTAGGGGTGTACAAGCCAAATTGTAAAGTCAAACCAAACCAACAAACCAAATCAAACCGAAAAAAAATCGATTAGTGGTTCGGTTTGGTTGGTTTGGAGGTTGAAAAAACAAACCGACCACTCTTGGTTTGGTTCGGTATTAAAAGAAAAAAGTCAAACCAAACCGACATAATATATATATATATATATATATAATTTTATTTTATTTATAGATAAAAAATATTATTTATAATCTACTTTGTTAATATATTTTTAGTTAGTTAATAGTTTTCAATGTTTATATATTTTATTTCAAATTTAGGCTTGTAAAATTTGTAAATATTTTATTTTGTATTAAGATCTGAAGTTACAATTATATTGTTATAGTTTTTCAAATTAGAAGTTAACAATTTACTATGTAAATATTTTGTTTTGTATTCAGTTTGCCTCTAGTCTTTAATCTTATTAATTTAACATAATGAACGTTGATATTTCAAAAAAAATATTTTGTACTCATGTGAATTTTACCGTCTTTTTCAAAAAATTTTATTCATTTAACATTTTTTAAGTTTAGCTTATCACACAAGTAAGTAAGAATATATTTGATCTCTTTTTCAAATACCGTATAGTTATAAAAACCCAAAAAAAAACCGACTCTAGTCGAAACCGAAAAATCGACTTTATGTGGTTTGATTTGGTTTTAGATTTAATAAACCGACATAATTGGTTTAGTTTTTTTTAAATGAAAAACCAAACCAAATCAACCTATGTATACCACTACTTACACCTCGCCTCGTACGATATAAAGCGCCTCGCCTCACGTCCCCGCCTTCTAAAACACTGGTCGAAAGAATCTTAACATAAGTAAAAAATAAATACTAATATTAACCATATTTAAGTGATTAGAAATATATGTCCACATTTCATGTATGTACTGATTTGACATAAGATAATTAATACTCCCTTTATTCCTAATTACTTGTCCATTTTTCATTTTTTAGTTGTTCCTAATTACTTGTCCATTTTAACAAATCAAGAAAGGATAAAAAAAATTTACTTATTATACCCTCAATTAATTACATTGAAAAAGGTAAAACTTTTTGAAAATCTTAAGTTTTTAATTCATCAACTTCATAATTAATAGGGATAAAATGATAAATTCATTGTGTCAATTATTATTTTCTTAATAGGTGTGTAAATTTAAAAATGTACAAGTAATTAGAGACAAAAGAAGTAGGTGTGTGTGGATAATGTTTTTATCTAGAAAATAAACAGGCACAAGCTCACGCAATATGTCTAGGGTGTTGTGAAAGTATCTACTTGCTCTGTCCATTTTTTATTATTATCGTTTTCTATTTTAGAGTTAAATTTTAAGAATTTTAATTAGTATTTTACGATATATTTTTTGTTATATTAATATGCGAAAAATTATAATTTATAGTATTTTTCGTATAATTTTTGAAAATTTAAATTTTGTATTTAAAATATCAAATTAATGTAATCTTTTAACTTTGAAAATTAGTCAAATTAACTTTTGAAAATGACAACATAACAATAAAAAGTGAATGCGGAGTAATTATAAAGAAAGAGACTACTCATTTACGGAGGATCACACTTTCTTCATTTTGGGCATATATATAAAACATATATCGGAAAATAAGCTTTGAAGTTTATGAATTTTAAATTTTAAATAATTATTAAATTTTAAATTACTAATTTATATATATTTTATATTTTCTAAAAAATAAATAAAAATTATTGAATTTAATTGAACCTGTAAATTATACTCCGTATAATATAGGAAAGGGACGGTTCTTCTGGGGAACTCCTATGTTTATTTTCGTCTAGTCAATTCAAGTATTCCAATTCGAAAGAAATTTTAAAAAAATGCTTCTCATCAAATTTACTTCTAGGAAGGAAAAACAAAGTCTAAATAAAGACCACGCAAATATAAATATTTGAGATAAATTTGTTTTGATCAAGGTACATATTATTATTACTATTACTAATATACATATCCGCTCGTTGCGCAAATATTTTAAAATATAATAATTTTTAAACTTAAAAATAATTAATATGAATTATTAATATTGACTAACAAAAGTGCAGGTATATAATATTAGGATATAGTTTTTAAAATTTTAAAATAATTTTATATAAATAATTAATATATTTTTTATAATATTAATTAGAAAAAGTTTAGACATTATAAACGCCATCAACATGCTATTATGAATATAACGTGAAAACATACATGGTAATTCACTTCAAATCAATTTTAATTCAAAATTTGAAAGCAATGATATCAAAAATACATGTGGAGAGATTTTATATGATAGAATGAAAATTTTGAAATGATAAAATAAAGTTGATCAAAATGAAAATCTAAAAATAACACTTTGCAAGTTATCACTGAGCATGTTAAATTGCTAAAGAAATAAGAATTACAACACAAATTAAGCTTGACTATATAAAT